GGAAAATAAAGACATTTCAGGGCAGCACTTGGGCCAAGAAAGAGCCCCTGTTCTGGCACCAGCCCCTTAAAATATTATAGGACTGTCCTTGAACAATTGATGACTCCTATATCTATATCCACTAGTCTTTCTGTACTTGCTTCCAGAAAACAGTTTTGGGTTCCTTCCAGGCTTTTTCTCATACAGAGAAGGGCCATCACACTTCATTTCCCACAACCTAATTTAAAGTGAGGAAAGCTAAAGTGTCACAGTAAAATAGTAACTGACCTTGATTACCCAAGATTATATTTTGATTCAGTATTAAAGTACCTCATAAATAAGCTCTTATCTACACAGTCTTAGACAAGTGTGTATCTCAGTAATGTACTCAAAAAATATTTATATGCCCAAGTGAAATACATATATATATGTATGTATTTCTAGATTTTTAGACCAAATTCAGCAATGCAGATGTCTTCTACAGTTTTCTACCATTTCTACCCCTTTCCTGTAGACTATAAAAGGTTAGATAGCTCAATATCCTTTACTTTTAGATAAATATAAAAATATAAAGAGTATTCTAGTCTTGATTTATATGGCGTATTGAAGCCACTTCAGCATTGCATTTTGCAAAAAGAGCAGATGTGCAGCCCATTTAAAGGATAGCAGTGTCACTGATCCCTTAGAATGTGTGTGGGTTTGGCTGGGGTAGAGTTAATTTCTTTCATTGTGGCTAGTGTGGGGCTGTGTTTTGGATTTGTGATGGAAACAGTGCTGATAACTCAGGGATGTTTCTGTTATCACTGAGCAGTGATCAGAGTGTCAGTGCCTTTTCTGTCTCTCACAACCCCACCACTGAGTGGGTTAGGGATACACAAGGAGTTGGGAGCTGATCCCAACTGACCAAAGGGATATCCCAGATCATATGGAGTCATGCTCAGCTTGGGGGAATTTGGGGGAAGAAGGAGGGAGGGAAGGATGTTCAGAGTGATGATATTTATCTTCCCAAGTCACCATTACGTGTGGTGGAGCCCTGCTTTCCTGGGTGTGCTGAACACATGCCTGCCCATGGGAAGCAGTGAAAGGATTCCTTGTTTTGCTTTACTTGTGTGTGTTTTTCTTACCTATAACTGGTTTTATGTCAGGCCCAACTTTTCTCACTGTTACCCTTCTGATTCTCTCCCCCATCCTACTGGTTTTGGGGTGAGCAAGCATCTGTGTGGTGCTTGGATGCCAGCTGGGGTTAAACCATGACAGTGTGTTTTCCTACTACTGTCACCCTTAATTCTAAAAAATTGATTTACTGAAATCAGTTGTTTAAATATTGACTATTTGAGAAAAGAGGAACCTTCTCATAAAGTAAAAGAAGAAATGATATTAGATAAAAATTAACATACAGTACTATTAGTGTCACCTCTGCTGTCCAGTCTCATTGTTTTCCTTATAAATTGTATAGCTTGAATTGTATAGCGTGTAAAAGCTAGGTTGTTTATATACTAAACCATGGCAGAAAACAAATTTAAATGTCCATATCCTCTTTATGCAGATGTCCTACATGAAAACACCAGCTATTGAAATAATAGTCTTTTGAAAGGAGAAGTCTGTGGAATGGACTTTTCGTTAGGACTTTTATCAGAATACTACAGAAGAACAGAATCCAATACAATGTATTTGTTTACAGAAGTAGAAAAGAAATGTGTTATAATTTCCAGTGGCTGGTATTTTCTGGCTCATCCTTCAGAATGACATAGCTCCTCTTTTAAGTAGTGTGAACTGTGGCAAATACCATTTTCTGCATTGTCTGTATCCTCATGTCAGAGTTCAGCTGTCATGAAGGTGAATTGTCTTCCTGTGATTCATCAAATAATTATGATTTTTTGTATTGTTTTTCCTATTGATCTCTATTATTGAAATCATAATAACTATATGGAGGATGCTCTTCAATGGAGCATCAATGGCCTAAGAACCTCTCTTCCTTTCTTTCTAGATGGAATGAGTCAGGAAGTAAGCTGCAGTCACCAACCTGTTTGCCTTATTTGCAATTTCATCTTATTTCTAAGCCATATTACTGTGGACTTCCCTTGTTTATTTAAAAAATCTGATATTTTTGCACAGTATTTTAAATACAACAGATTATTCAGGTGTTGAGGGTCTTCCCTCTAAGAAGATTCTTTAAAAGTCAGCCACCAGGTGAGCCCTATTTAATTATCATTCCTATAATCTCAGAAGAACTTCAGTTCCAAATATTAGCACTTTTGATTTTCAGCCAGGTTGCAGACTTTATTTCTGTCTTCCAGAAGGTAAGACAAGAGGTGATGACAAGAAGACCCTCCCTTGTTATATACACCTCAACAATACTGAAATAAACCCACCTTGGCTAGAATTATTTACTACAGCTGTATTACTGTTGTTCAATGAAAAATATCTAAGCTTCAGGATGAGATAAACATGCTAAATCAAATTTTGCTTCTTTCTTTCTCCAACACTTCCCCTCTCTCTTCCCTAAATCAAAAATTACAAATCTGTCATCTTTAACATGAATGGTCAAACAATTTGTACAGGACAGAAAACATCACACGTCTATATGCTTGCACAAAAAGTTATCTGTAAAAATAGGATCTCAGGATATTTTGTTTGTGTTTTAGGGGTGACAACAAAATAAAATTGTAGGCCCTGGTGCTGGTGTATCTGCTACTTATGGGAGCACTGCACACACTATAGCTGAAAGACTTGCACAGGTCTGGGGTTCCTTTCTCCGCCCTAAGCAGCTGCTTTTACTCACCTTTCGATGCCCCACAGAGCTTTAACCAACAGATACAATTCATGCTGTATGAACACAATTCATGATTTCAGATTTTGCATTTCTGAGATTTCCTATTTTGTTATGAAGTGTTCATGTTTTCTACACTCTTGGTCCCTTTTGGTACCTGTTTTTCATTCACTACTGACACTGCATCTTGTTGAATGCATCAAATCAGGTTAGATTCTCAACCTGGGAAATGCAGCTCCAGTCCCAGCTGACACCATCCCATCAACATGCGAGTTAGAAAACTACCTTGTCAGCAAGGCAAATGGCAGATTTTTAATACAGCACCAATCATCAGCTAACTCAAAAACATGAACTGGATTAAATATTATCAAAAATCACAGAATAGCCACCAGCTTCTATTTTCTTCTCCTCTGCCTCCCTTAGCCAGTCCAAATGTCCTCACAGCCTGGATTTCAGCACATGGCACATTCAATACACTTTTGATGAATTCCTGTAAACGTCCAGCTTTTCTGCTTCAGTATTCTCAAATATTCCTGCTCCCAAGAAAACCAAATTTATAACGTGAGGGGAGGCTTCATATTTCTGGCACATGCAGTTGTGCAGATGTTATTCCTTAAGGAAGACTATCTTGATTGCCTCTGTGAATAATGGCTACGAGATGGCAAGAAGCCAACAGTTCTCTTAGAGCAGAAGGTATAAAACCACTCTCCTACTGAAAGAAGGCCCCCAGTAGGATAATATATTATTACGCATGATTCAAATTACAGGATCTGCAGCAGGGGAGCCAGTGGCTGAATCAGGACAGCCGCACACAGAATACTGATGATGGGATGATGGAATGCATCATGCATTGAAAGAGCTATGGTTTAGTGCTTAAATCCTCTGTATTTTCAAAGTGACTAGAAGGATCAATATATAACTGAAGCACCGTAAACAAATTGTAGATTATTGTGTGTGAGAAGAGGGGAAGTTACCATGTTGTAACAAAAATTCTCTTTTGGGCTACTTCTTTAAATAAAATTTTGCTCTATGAAAGACTTGACCTCTTGAAGCCCACTAGCAACAGATATAGGTTTAATTTAATAACACAATATTGAATTTGTCTCATATCTGATTCTGTTTCGGCTATTAGAATACTGAAGAGCAAAACCTTGCCTCATTAGATTATGCAGTCTGAAATCTCTGCATTCCACAGTATCCTGGGCTGGTTTTAAATTGCTCGCACAACAAATTACTTTACCCACAAAGAACTAAATCCAAATGCTCAACACAATGTTGGCTTGCCCAAATGTTTTCCACTTATAATTGAACACATCTCAAGAAAATGTGTACATTTATTATTAAAAAAAAAAAAAAACAACACACCCAAACCCCCCACACCAAACCTATTTCCTAACATGAAAAGCTGGCTAAATAAGAGTTTTTTTCAACCTAAGATTTAATCTTTTCTGTGCAGATTAAGCACATTCTAAACAAAAATTCTATATTTCGCTTTGCTGCAACATACCCTGAAGCAGTATGCAAGCTCTCCCTTGACTTCCTTTCATACTGGCTCTTGTATTCAGTTATTCTGGTAAATGGATGCAAATCAGGTGCATTGTGTCAAGGTGGAAGGAAGGGGGTGAAATTTGTTCAGAAATGATCTCAGTTCTATTCATTAATAAAATGACATCTTGACTGAAAGTGGTGAAGAATGAAATATAACAGTACTGAACTTTACTCAGTCGTAACAGATGCACGTAAGAACCTTTAGAGAAAGCCAGATATGTAAAACGGCCACAGCGAAATGATTTCTGAAGCATTAGAATAAGTACTTAGACTGTGATGGCAGCTAAAGATGCAAACTCAATGCTGCAGCAGCACCCTTTTTTACCTTCCAAGACACTTAAAGGCAATCTCAGGCTATAATAGGAGGAAGCAGTACCACATTAGGTAAGGACGATGAGGAGGCAAACATACATGAAAGAAAAATATATGCACAATATTAACAATTAAAAACACTTTTAAAGGTTTTTATGGGGCCAACAGAAAAAAAAAATGGAACAATGCCCATGGTTACCTGCAGAGACAGCACACAGTTAAAAAAAAATCAAGAAATTGTAGCCATCGTTTTGCATAGCGATTCAAATTATGCTGGCAGAATAATTAATGGAGGACCTAATCTCTGTGAGGGAAAAAAAAAAAAAAAAGAAAAGAAAAAAGGCTACGTTAAACAAAGTTCATTACGGCATGATGTAAATGAGTTTCTCACCAGTGATGTCACTGATTGGCTGGGATGTAGAGCTGGTTTCGAACAGTGCAGCATGGCCGGATTGGCTGCTAGCTCTTCTGGTTACTGCCTGCTTGGGCAGCGGTCGAACCAGACTCTTTCTGTCTCTCTTGTTGTCGTTTGAAGCAAATCTTGTTCAGCCCAGCTGTGTCTCCATAGTAGTGGCACCCTAAGAGAGTCTCCCTCCTGCTTCCCACAGCTCATCTGTAAGGCGGTCGCTGCTGTGAAATACCAGCCTTTGGCACGGAGCCCAGACTGCGTTGTTAGATCCGTCTATAATACAGAAAAGAATTTTTTTTAAAGCAGTTCTTTCACCGAATTACATCCTAAGAAGGATTAATAAGCACTAAATTGCAACTGATTTGTGGACTTTTAAATTATGTAGCTAGCACGCTTTCTGAAATAAAATATTATCTGACTTGCAATAGTATAGCATCATTGGTTTAAAAAAAATAAAAGAAAAAAGGAAAAAAAAAGGAAAGAACGAAAGAAAGGAATAAAGAGAAGCAACAACTCTTCTTTGTTTACCTTGATTACAAAAAAAATAATTCTTCCTTTTTTCCCCTAGGATGGTAACTGATATCTTGGTGCTACGCAAGAATATTTTAAACTATCGTCAGTTTTCTATTTACATCCAAGTCACTATTTTCAGGTTAAGGCAAGGGATCTTAATTAGCATTCTCTTTAACTATGCAAACTGAGACAGGGCATGAAAGAAAAATGCTGTATGGAAGAGACAGAGACAGAGAGACAGAGGAAGAAGACAAAAAAAAAAAAAAAAAAATCTGTGCAGCTTTTACAGTTCAGCTGTCTGACCCCCTGCAAAAAGAATGCAGTCATATCAACTTTGCCAGACAATGGAGTACCTACAGGCTTTCCTCTAGACAAGTCCTTTATAACCAGTCAGTATTATGTGCTGCAGACAGTGGCCAATCGCTAAGCTGCTTTCTACAGCAGTGACACAATAGGTGCACTGGCCACACTGTCCTCCTAGCCTCCGACAGCAGTGCAGGTTCATTTTTTGTACACTGGAATATGCATATGTCTTAAATGTTCCCACTGAATGGGGAGAAAAACCCACCATCAGCCTAAGCTTGCTTTGTTTTGCTATAATTACATCAGCCTAATTACTGCAGCCGAGCCGCAGAGCCACTGCTCAGAGCGGCGCATAGGCATGCACGTCATATAAATATGCATGAGCACGCCTGCTTATTTAAATACAAAAATGCATCAATTGCTGGTGGTGCCTTTTTGGTTTTGTTTTCTGCATGTCCTTCCTCCCCCCCTCCAACACCCATTGCTGATAAACCAAGTGAGTTAAGGACGCCTAGCAAATGCGGTCACCATTTTTCTCCCTTTATTTATCCAAACTTTTATTCGTTCCGTTCTAATTGCAAGCATTCAGAAGGAGCTAAAAAAGAGGGGAAAAAAAAATTCAAATGCAAATGAGTGTCAGTTAGTAAGGGAAGGGTATCGCAGACCTAGGGCATTTTTCTCCCTTGTCACTACCCATCAGAGAAAGCGCCTGTAAATGAATCTGCGAGCACTCCATCATAGCCAGGCACAAGATGCCCAGTTCCTATTAAAGCCCAGTGATCCCCCAGCATGTGCACGTTGTGTGTTTGGGTCCTCTGTAATTACTGCAGCTCTCGTAACTCTACCTGAATCCGCTCATCTAGTCCAAAGATTAAATCATCACTATCCACGTATTAGCAGACATAATTGGGCACATTCTATAGTGGGAATCGCCATGCTAATTTTTCTGATTTTATGCATGGGATTTACATATTCATGAAGAGAATAGCTGTTATGACCGCCGACAGAGCAACATGAAAAGAAAAGACACCATTCTTCAGCACGCAGAGTGTACAAAACCTAGAGGGAAAAGATGCAGCATATGGCGACAAGGAGGAGAAGTTGTTTGGCTTTCGAGGGTTATTTTCTCTCCTATTTATAAATTCTGGGTAGACAGCTTACAAAAAGCATGTAAGTATTCTGATCACGAAGGCAAAGTAAGTCTGTGTTATTAGTAATCAGCCACTGGTAGCTGAAATAAAATCATTTTCCACTTGGTGCCCAATGTTCTGCAAGTTTTGCCTTTGCATTAGAGACCATTATCAGTTTAAGGATGCTTAGGACATATTCATCTAGGACTGCACAAAAATACTGAAGAATCAGAAAGGAATAGAAATTCCAGTTGATATTTAAAAAAAAAAATAAATTCTTGATTTCTTTTCTAATGCCTGTTTTGAATTAGGGAATGATACCTTTCCCAGGAAAGCTGTTATTCTTCGTTATCAGAGGTATTTTTAACCCAGCTTATTAGAACTGCATGTTTTCCAAATCTGACAAGATATATCTGAGTGACTTTCAGATTCCATTGTTTTTAAAGAAAAAAAATCACTAGAGAAAAGATAATTCAGGCAGAGTTATAAACATAGTGCACCTTGATTTCTATAATAATGTCATATAAATAAACACATTATGCATACTGTAACCTTGTCTCTTTTATATATTTAGTATAATAATTTCTTAAATGTTTGTTTATCTCAGGTATCTGCCAGTAAAAACAGCCCAAATTTCCTTATTACAGCCAGATATTTACAGATGCCTGCTTTCCCCTACATCTTCCTACATTTCATAAAGATAATACTACAGTTAGCAAGGTGAAAAAAAATAATTTTTACAAGGAAAATTTTAATGCAATGGCCATGTTTGTCAGGTCTGGTTGTATATAATTTTTCTCAAAATATTCTATTCAGTACTTCTCAAAAGAACAAAAAAGAAGGGGTTTTTATTTATATTTGTATACTATACATTTCTTTGAATTACAGCCTTTCAATGCAGTCATGCAGTAACATTTTTCCAGTGACAGAAGTTATATTGCATATTACCTTCTAAAAAGATATTTAAAAGCTGACTGATATTTTATATGTTAATATGAATTACAATAGCAATAGTGAAAATATATTTTAAAATAAGCTTTTGATTCTCTAAAGTAGATTTAAAAGAAATAAGCGAAAGAAGCATTAAAAAAATAAACTCAGCAATATTAACTAAAACATGTTTCTCCACTCAGATCACTCTTACTGTCTCTGTCAAAACAAAAAGCTATTAACAATGACTTTCTTTGTGTTTGTCTTTACTTAAAATTCAAACTTCAGCAACTGTAAATTAGTGAGCTAATTATTAATTTTCCCCTTTAGCATAAATGTCTGGGCTATGACATCATATAGCACAAAAATAAGCTTCACTGCTGAAAGGTAAGACTTTAAACAGAAGAATGGTGATATAATTTTTAAGATATGACTCTTTTAAAAACCTTAGCATGGCCTCTATTCAACAATCCTACTCCATAATGTCAAGTACATTAGTGCTAATTTGAAGCTTTTGTTAGAGGATAATATCAAAAAACTTCAAATATTCATGGAAGAATTTGAGGCAGGTTTCCTAAAGAAAATACGTAATTTTGTGTTCTGTGTTCACTGAGAGAGAAAAATGATTCTGTTTCTTGTTTGTAGCAATGAACCTGACAAATTTCAAGTGCTCTATTGAAAAAAATGAAATCATGTACATTTAAACATGGTCAGGTTTCTGTCTTATTTTACAGTCTTTACTGTACTGAATTTTTTTAGACTCGTTCCAGTAGAGGAAACAACAGTATAAATTAAGAAATTTCAGCAAAAATATGATCTGATTTGCTATATCTGGCATAAAATGAAATTTGACAATAGTTAAAAAATACATCTATATTCAGAATAAGGTTTCTTATTCTAGAAAAGCATCACCTATCACATCAGTTTTCTACCCCCTTCTATAATTTCAATTGCTGTTTTCTTTACAAATGATCACCTTTTGCTTTGCATTTTCATTGCATGTAATGCTATTAGCCTCAGCCCTTTATTCAAGCTCCTATAAATTCCCAGAATACACCGTGCTATATCAACAGTATTAATTATGATGATATTTGATGTATCTTTCCGCCTCTGAATTATGCCCCAAATTTTCAAACAACACTCAGGTTCTGACATCCATGTTTAAACTCTCGCCCTGCTATGGGCTTCACTCCCAAAATTATCACAGAACTGAAATTTTAGATCCTAAATAAGCAGGTAGTCTGACTTGCAGGGCTGCCTGAAACCTGCAGCTCACTTATACACTGCAGGAGCTCCCATTAACTGGACTGCCTTAATACAATGCAGATGTCAAATATTTTGCTTTCATAAGGGGGCCTGATACAAATATTGACCTGATCTTTTTCATTTTAGTAACTCCAACAATCCCAAATGCTCTGATGATGAAATAGAGCTTTCCAGGCTTGAGCTTGTACCCTTCTATGGAAATGCAACAACAGCTTAAGAGGTAAAAAATGTAGCAGTCAAGAATAGTGCTTAAATTTGGGGCAACACGAGGATAGTAGTAGGTTGATGTAAAATACCAGGTTTGTAAAAAAAGTTTCAGTAACAAAAGTCAGTTATGATTTGATATCTGGATCACAAGAACTGCTAAAAACTTGGAAATTCACTGTCCAGGACCTAGCCAGTTTAGCTGTAAATTACTCTGGTATTAGAGCACAATAGAGAAACAGAGATTAAAATTCTACACTCAAGGATTTACATTGTTATATCTTTCATTTAATTCATTTGGTAATATTCAGCCAAACACTCCTACATGGGAATAATGATAGAACTTTTTTATCCCATTTTTAAATTTTGATTTTCCTGGAAATTTTTTGAGCTACACACAATACATACAGAGCCTATGCTTTTAAAAACTTGATTAATAAAATAGGTAAAGATGTTTTATTTTGGGGTAGATCCATAACCTGCATGTATGCACTGTTTAGTATATTATTTGACGAATTTTCCTAATTTTTAAATAATTTTATTCTTTTATTATTTAAATTAATGGATGAAAAGATGACTGAGCCTTTTAAATGCCACTGAGGAATCACATTCAGGAATTTTTTCATTAATCTATTTTTAAAATGCATAAAAATGCTTGCCTAAAGTCCTTGTCACTTAAAAGCATGTTCTGTTCTAGAGAAAAACTCACCTTCATTTACCTCTTGAAGGAACTTATCTTAGGGTTATGTTAACCCTGATTTCCTACTTCTTCTTATTCACAATTCATCCTTTCCTCAGGCTGTACTTAGTCCTCCTAAAGAGCTAAAATTGAATGATACGCTTGTGACAATAATTTAATTAAACTGATTGTAGAAGCATGTAAACACACGATTAAGAGTCTGTTTCTCCACACTGGCTTTGGTGCTTTCTACCTTCCAGTACCCCACCCACCATAAGCCTAATTTCACTTACTGTCTTCTATTTATTTGGGAACAAAATACTCTGGGTGATGCTACATGAGCTGTATTTGACCTGTTGTATGTTCAGCCTACATAGATAACAACCTACCATAAGCTGTGGCTGTTATTGAGTTAGCTGAACTAAATTGCTGATTTTAACAGAGTTTTTCTCCTTTTTATTAAACATGCAATAAGTAAACCTCAATAAATAGTCATTTCCAAGAGCAAATACTCTGGGGTTTATCATTTGATACAAGTTCCAAAGCAACCCCCCCATACTATATGATGGATCTACTTCCCCATGTTGTTTCATCTCAAAATAGAGATCTGAAGGCTGGGAAATGCTACAATACTGTTGAATATTTTAATTACCAGGACCCAGAGACAAAGGTAATAATTTTCCATTGTATCTACCTCTCTATTAACGTGGAGGTAGCATTGCTGTGCAGAGGACTGAAAAACCCATCTGCATCAAGGAGGATTTATGTGGTATTAAAAATATGCACCTAGGACACATTTGGAATTTCTTAATCGACGCTGAACTTGAGAGTCTACCTTTAATGGAGTGTGTTTTGAGTAATCTTTCAGCACATCACAGCAGCCCATGCTACCCAGCTGTAACTCCACTTATTTGCCAACTGTTTTGTAACCTCGGGTTAATTCTCCTCAAATACAGAACACAAACACTGTATTTGAAATAAA